GATTAGCTGATATTTCTCTTTTGGATAGCATCTCCACAATCCATTTAATTATGTTTTCATTAAAGCCACGATTTCTCATGGCGTTTATCATTGACGAAAAAGACGCATTGTCAAATGCACCTTCAATATCCAGAAACGCTGCTAATAGAATTTCCTTTGCTGTGAAGGTTTTTTCTATTTTAGTAACTAGCATATGAAGAGCTGTTATGGTGGATTTGCCTGACTGGTAGGCGAATTGGGCTCTACATAGTGGGTTACCATGAAGAACATCTGATTTGACATATTCGTCTATAAGTTATTCTATTAACTTCAAAAATATTGATGAAAGAAAGCTCGATTTGAAGAGCTTGATTACAGGGTGATTCAGAATAACTGTCACCGATTTCACAAATATGCAATTCTCAATGGGTAAAATGGGTATATGTTCAAGTATTTTTGTTTTAAGTGTGTACACATATCAGCTTGTATTGATAGTAGGATTTGAAATTTCATTCGTTTGTGATTTCAAACAGCCATTGACGTCCAAATGGAGCATGACATAAATCTGTAAAAAAATCGTGTGTTATCTTTTAGAAACTGAAATCTCTTCGAAAGAATGTAACATTTATTTTTGGATCATTATAAAGGAACCATGCTTGGATAATCCGTTCAATATCAGAGCTTAAACGCATCACCGGGACTCAAAAAGTGCTGGAACTAAAGCGTGCGTGCCAGCTGTGGTTAATTTTCATGACAAATGTGGCTGATAATTAAGGTAAAGGGAGAGAGATTTGAAATAAACTATGCTTAGTTGAAGGTTATATATCCAGAATATCTGGAATATAATGATATCAAAAATTCATGCAAGCGTTCAATCGGTATGACCATTTTTAAAAGGGACAGCTATTCCGAATCACCCTGTAAAATAGGAATTATTAAAGTTTTGCACTTTTGGATATGTGCTGGAAAAATTCCATCTACACCTGGGGATTTGAATGAGCTGAAAGAGGCTATTGCACATTCAATTCTAGAGTCTGTAAATAGAATGTTTGCTAGATTGACAGCCTCCTTGTTGAACACTACTAGTGCACAATAGTTATTGATTCTAGTAGTAACATTTTGTTCTTCACATCTTAGAGATGTATCTTGTATGCAGTCAGTAGTAGGACTAGACCCTGGAAAATGAGAATGCATCATCATTTCCAAAGTTTCTGTTGCATTTATAGTAAAAGAGCCATCAGCTTTTTTAAGAGCTCCCAGGCCGTTAGAATGGTCCTTTGAGAGAACTTTATGAAGCCTTGAAGTTTCAGGAGTGCTTTCTATGTTTTCACACATGTGCCTCCAGTCTTTTCGCTTGGATCTTCTTATTTCTCTGTTATACTCACTTAGAGCCTCTTTATACTGAGACCAGTTTGCTGTGCATTTGGCTGAATTGAATAGTTTCCTAGCCCTTTTCCTTAGTTTTTCTAATCTATCATTCCACCATGGCACATTTCTGTTAGTCGTGCGCACCTTTGCAGGGCAACTAATATTATAAGCCTGATTTACATTGCTTATTAAGCAATTAGCAGCTTTTTCTAGCTTAGAAATTGAATCAAAATCCTGTAAAATAGGCTCATTTTGACTCTGAAGACTGAAGCTGTATAGCTCCCAATTTGTTTTACGAGGATCTCTGTAAGTTTCCTTTAATACGTCATTAACCGTGAATTCAAACATAATTTGCATATGATCAGATAAAGAAATTTCATCCGATACATGCCAATTTACTATACGATCTGAGATTGTTGGACTGCAAAGTGTTAGATCCAACACCTCTTCCCTTATTGAATTAATGAATGTTGGCGAATTACCCTTATTACACCCTCACCCCTTTTGTTGATCCCCGAACTACTCCATATCGTATGATGGGCGTTGGCATCACATCCGATGATAAAGGCTTTATTTTGCCTTCTGCAGTATGAGACAAAGGGTGCAACATCAAGAGGAGGTACATCATCAACGTTGCCAGGAAAATAAGCGGATGCAATGAAAGTCTCCGTTTTTCCTTTCGTAGTTGGCACCTCTAACGAAATTGCAGCAATATCTCTGTTGATAAATTCTGTAATAGGTGTAATTTTAGCATTACTGTTCACAAGAATTGCAGCTCTTGGTACAAGCTGAGTATTGTCATAGATTAACTTACACGATTGTGTAGGCATTCCTAAAATCCTACTGTTATATGTCCAAGGCTCTTGAAGAAGCGCTACGTCCAGTTTGTCTTTGATGAATGTCTTACATAGAATTGCGGAAGCTGTATCTTGTATAAATTTGATACTTGTTCCGGTCATTTCTATTTCTGTGAGTTACTATTTTAACCAAAACTGGCATTATTGTCTGCCTTTATTACAAAATCAGATCGATTATCCAGAGGATCCGTGAACTTGAAGCAAGAGGTGGGCAACACAGAATTTCCATTATTTGTTGCTCCTCTAGTTCCAGGAGGGCATTGATCAGCGTTGTGCAAACTAAACTCAACATCTGCAGAAGCATTGCAGCTTTCACCGCTAGCTTCTGTTTTTTGTTGGTTAGTATCACGCATCTCAGCGTCCTCAGTATTAACACAGATTGTAGAACTTGAACAGGACTGTTCTGCATTGCCCTTACCCTTATTGTCATCAGGTTTTTCCTCTTTGAGACCTTGTTTATCTCTTGTATCATCTGATTTCGTGGAGGCTTTTTTCCTTATATAGGCAACTCCAAATTTGTAATCCACAGTAAATTTGCAGTCCTCCAGAGTCTTCATAGAAACAACATCAATAGTGAAGACAAGCTCCACGTGATGCTGTTTGACCGTGTATCTCTTAATAATTCTCCTGGAATCAACCATTAACCCTTCATTTTGACTTTCCACATATGCAAGGATGTCCTCATTTGTGTCCTCAACACTGCGTGGAAAGAAGCCAAGTAGTATTTCAGGCCGAGGAATATCTTTCTCATCGACTGCAATGAGACGAGCTTCTTCCCATGGCTTAATACTGTGAATTGTAGCCTTTAACCACTTGGCGGTGTCGTGATTCTTACAGATGATAATCATGTGACCCGACCGGAACAGGCAGCTTCCGAACTTTGGTTTTATTCTTTCCTTCCTTTGTCCAGCTACTTTTGTTAAGATTGCCTTTTGGGTGGCAACTAATTGTTGTGTGGTTAACTCAATGCTTGGATAGCCATCGGGCAGAATTCCAATCCTAACAAAGTTTAATGCCTCACTGTAAGACGGTTTTGGGGAGCCATTGTTACTTGTTGGCTCCTTTATGTTTGACGATTCTCCATTACCTTGTTGTCTGGCTTTCTCCAGCCGAGACTGAACCGAGGACTTTGTATTTCCTCTATCAGCGTTTGGAGCAATCCTTTTAGGTAGATTGGTATCGCTACAATTGGATTCGCTTAGCTCTGCATTTCTGCGACGCTTGTTTGGTTCCAAATACAACCTTAGAAAGGCTTCTCAGCCAATACACGAGCATCATCATAGGAATGACTATGAGCTACCAAGTATTTGAGCCTCTTTTCAGACGCTTGGCCTTTTTTGGGACTGTAGCCTCAATCGGTGATTCGGTATCAACTTCAGCAGAGTTACCGCTAGCAGCAAGCATGAGAGGAGCATTTACCCCCTTTTCCGTCTTCTTGATTCCAACATTTTCCTCGTTGGATTCAGTAGTAGCAGCTGTCGACAACAGAGTCACATTTATGCCGTCCTCATAATCGTCGTTATCATCGTAGATGTCATCGTCATCTCCATGTCCGGAGGAGTTAAGGATCGAAGAGGAACATGAATTTACTTCCTCCAACGAATTATCTCGCAGCTGATCCTCAACTTCCATCAATTTTCTATCGCAATACGTACTTAAAGCCTTACTGCACTCGTTTTATAGACTAAACCACTTAGTCGCACCGTTAAGCAATCACTCGTGAATATACGTAGCGTTTTCACTTTAAACTTGCGAAAGATGTGGGACAATCTAAAAACCACTTGCAAGGTATACCAGGGTTGCCAGGACCTGATTGAGTTTTACAAATAAACGAACTAGATGAAAAAAAAAATCGCTGCTCAGAATATGAAGCTAACAAAACTCACCAGTTGCAAATCATGATTTTTGCTTTGCACCTGAACCACAGACTGTGCCCGAATGCAGTCGCTTCGTATCTGCCATCGATGATGAGAAAAAAGAGATAGAATTTATTCTCTTCCTAAGAAAACGAAGTACAACGGAATGATTATGCCATCACTGGTTTGGATGATACCCTGAACACGTCGTTAAGCAAAATAACCACAGAAATTTGATAAGGGCATGTAAATAAATTCTCTGAATGGTCAACACTGTGTTCACGACATTATAGTGCAAAGATCTATAACATAGATTCTCAACATTCTGTGCGGTTAAGCTCGCTCAACATACCTTTTTTCATACGCTTTCCGCTTAGTGGGGGTCCGCTAACAATGCTAAAATCATGAGTGACGTAAAAGTCGGATGTTAGATTGGCAGTCGGAAATCGGTAGTCAGACCTTAATTAAGTGCTGGCGACACAATAACTGATATATCAATTCATGAGACTTTGAAATTTCTAAATCCTGCTTCTAGCAAGGTTCAGTCCTAGTCTAGCAGAAATAAACGTTAACTAAAATCAAAGTTTCCCCCTTAACCATTATCTATCTCCTCGATCTCATCAGCTTATCGATTCCATCCGACTTGCCCGGGGACGTGTATCAGAAGAGCCATAATTCAATCTGATCTCATCCAGACATCTACGGCTCCCGTTGGCCCCCTCTGGCACTATCTAGTCACTGACCACAACCTGGACGCAGCAAAAGAGCATCTACGACGGGCTACCTTGTTGTGGTTCATCGAAACACGGCGCCATAAAACCGCAACATTATTATCATTAGCCCCATCGGCAGGCGGAAATGGCCATCGTAGCCGTCGTCGTCGATTAGGACCCTCCAAATCCCACTCTGACGAGCATATTTGTATGGAAATTTTACTCACATTATTCTGTTGCTGTTGCTGCTGCTGCTGCTGCTGTTGCTGTCTCTGCCGGTACTCCATGAGGGCTGCAACTGCTTTATTGGCAGCTGCGGTCACGGCCGCTACCGTGGTCATCTCTCTGTTACTTCCACTAGTGTCGTCCTCTTCGTCCTCCGGTCGGTGGTGGTTTACTGGGCTAGTGCTGCTCTCGCGGCTTTTGCTCGTCGCCGTCCTCGTCCCCGGGACCTCCAGCGGGAAACGGTTCTCCGAGATGGCCGTCGAGACTGCCGCTGACGTTGATGAGGGAAACGACGATTGAAGTCTGTTTGCATCCGCTGCTGCTGCTGCTGCCGGGGTGTCGACGCTCAGCATTTAGGGATGGAACGGTGCTGCGGTGGGTTGTTTGTAAAGGAAGGGAGGGGTGGATCGGTTGTTGGTTTTTGTGTAAGCTTACTGAGGGGTTTCGCCTAAAGCCGACATGAATGGGAAACGGGCTGCACAATGCACACCGAACTGGGCAAAGGCAAAGTGCTTTTCAGCAAGTTGTTGTTGGTGTTGTTTGGGCCTGCCGTTGCTTTGTTGTAGGGCCTTTTGTTTCAGTGGCTGTCCTGTGAGGATAAACAGAAAGGGAGAATATTATTATAGAACACACACGGGATGCATAATATGCACCGGACATGTTTTTAATTCGGGTTGTATATTCAACTGGGAAGCATAATTTTAACCCATTTGAGGCTGTACACACGAAAAGTTATAAACAACAACAAACGAAACACGAAACCCCGAAAAATCTGCGTAGGCTGTTGTCACTAATATTTTTGGGTGTCCCAAACAAACTCCCACAACAAAACTTCCGGAAATAATTCAAACTAATCGACACTCCATTTACCGCCGTTGTTGCCATCCGGTTCCGTTTCTGCACAACACCTTCCCCGACACGACACCGGGGGGACCAACTTTCTACATATTTCAAAAATTTCCGGTCACATTCTGAAGTCCCAATGCCACCGTCCAGGCTTTTCCCGCTTTTTCAACCTGCATCAAGTGGAAAATAGTGAACTCCGATAGAGTTCCCCCCCCCCCCTCCTATTCGAATGTGATCCTTTGCTCATCTCAGTGAATAACTCAAATGCTGCAAAAACTCTCTGCAACCGCAAAACTGCAATTTTATCCTTCGCATCTCCCTACAACTTCGGGATAAAATAGAATTCTTCCCCACCGGCCGCGTAGCCCACTTCCAACCACTCAGGACTAACTGTGTACAACTTCATATGTTTTGGTATACACTGGACCACAACAAATAAAAGCAAGAGTATATGCAACAGCCATAAAAATAAATTAAACTTTTCATTTTAACGATCATCCAATGATACTCCGGAGCCGGTGCCGGAGCCGGATTCCCCGAGGCGTATCCTCGAAACATATACCGAAGCAATTCCGAGGGACATATGCTTAGCTGTGTGTGTGTGGTTTGGACAACGGAGCACATGATTGTGATGGGAATTGGATACTTTTCACCGACTGAACCAGTTACCGGACCTATCCCAAGTGACAAACAACGTGACGGCACAGAGAAACGGAACTCATACTGTGCATATTTGTTTGTCTTTTTGAATCGCACTACTGTGATCGAAAATCGAACTCCATACAGTCAACTAATAAAGATTTTAAATCAAAGCAGTGGCATGTCTGCTTGTCTGTGGTGCGGGGTTGTTGTGGAGGTGGGTCACATAATCATAAAATATAGGAAACTATTAAACAGCCTGAACTGTGATCACAGTTTTCCTGGCGGGATCACTAACAGTAGGACACTGAACTTTTACGAGGGTCGTCCGTCTCCGGTTGCAAATCGATGATGGCGTTATCACGGATAAACAGACGGAGCTCTCTCTCCAGAATCATCGTACACGCATTTAACGATCAATTTAAGTGTAATTTGTTTCGTGAATCCTCTAGCACAGCGCTGGAATTGGATCATTTTGACGTTTTTACATATTCTATTGAACTTGTATGCAACATTGGCAAGCAAGCTTTTCTACGCGACTGTCACATTAATGGTCCTTCGGTCAATTTTCAACTTCTATTCCACCTACCCTCTTCTAAGACCATTCTCTAGCTAATAAATTTTCAAACTAAAGTTTCATGTTAGATAGCATTTCCAACCAACCCCCACTAGAAGTTAGTTCAACCCACTAAAGAAGCATCAATAAAGCACGTTATGATCTCAGATGGGAGGGGGGCTTACAAATGTGTGGCAAGCAATGCATTATGTATAGGGAAAACGTGAGAAGTACTTAATGCATGCTTCCTAACTAAATGGTTCCAACAGTATCGGTTCATTCAGGGTGAAATAATAGGTTTCTCGATAGATCTTCTTCCAACGAATCCATCAATACATGTAGGACCATAATGTCCACTTGGGAATGTTCATAGTAAGCTTCTGTAACAAAAATGACAGGTGAATTAAATGTTGTTATCTAATCTAATTTAATCTAACACCAACACAGCCAGTTCTCGAAAGCATCCTGGAAAATGATATACATACCTATATCATTTTTCTTGCCTATTTGACATATTTAGATAAACATTTCAGAAGGTCCTATCTGCATTGATTGATTCTCTTCACCGACTTTCTCTATCGTTAATAATTCAACTGCAATACCTTTCTCTGTTGTATTTGACGTTTTAAACGCTAGATAAGAACCTCCTTTATCAAACTATGAGCTAAAATTAGCGCGAAATCTGTTTGCAAAGCAGTGATTATCTAAATAGAAAGTCGATGAAGAGAATCGATCGAAGCAGATAGGACCATTTGAAATGTTCATCGAGATATGTTTCACATCAAAGATGCATCAAACATATCAAAACGGCCAGGCCTACTGTGCAGCATTTAAGGGGCAAGATGATTCAGAAAAACATCGGGCCTGTTTAAATCGAAGATTTAAACACGATGCTTCAGAATCCAATAAATGAATGAAACGTGGACGTTCCGATTTTGGTAATTATATGATTGGTTGGTCGTTGGAAGCATCAAAGCTAGAAAGGTTAAATGATGCTCCATTTGCTTCTGACGGTTGGGGCATGAGCACTAACTCTTGTCCTAGCCTTTTATGACTTATGGCTATAGCGCCATTACTCGCTTTCTGAAAAGAGAAAAGGGAAAGGAAAAGGAGAAGGACAAAGGGAAAAGGATTATGTGAAATCTATGAACATAGACAATATTTTTTTATTTGAAATATACAATATAGAAATGCATAACGGCGTGGTGGTCACTACTCGAGTTTTGTCACTATTATCAAGTCATAAAAAGTAACAAGGACTAAAATGTGATCCTTTGATTGCTGGAAAATCCTGAGTACCTAGTTTGAAGTTGTCACGAATAGGGTTCGGTGGTTGGTCTTATTCCAGTAACGCACCACAATAAGGTGATCTCCCAACGTTACTGGGTTGAAAAGTTAAAAATTTACAAAACGGAACGAACTCACCAAGTTTAGCCAATTGAACCTGATGGCTGCCTGACATGTGTTGATGTAGAAGTACAAATTGTAGACGAAGCTTGACGAAGATCAACATGAACTAGTTCGGTTTATGGTAGTTTCGCGGAATGTCTTCCTTCGATTTGAGATAAACAAATCTAGATAGAGCTGGAATTAGGGCGTAACAGCTTTTGTAAACAATAACTTTTCGCGATGATTTTTAAAAAGTCAAGACTCGTCCACGCAAATCAACATCACCATCGGATAGGGTAAGACTTCCGCTACACGATGGTTCCGTTGGTTTGCCTTGAATTTTTAGAAATCTTCGACAGAAGTCATTGTTTACAAAAGCTGTTGCGCCCTAATTCCAGCTCTATCTAGAAATGTTCGGATGTTTGTAGTCGATTTTTGATGTGCATTGGCAGACCTTTTCGTGGCCAATAGTCAGGTTCAACGCTGTGACTCAACGAATGATGGAACGCCTTGTGGAGGTTCTACTTGGCTTCGGAACAGCTTCCCAGCGGCAAATCATAGGGACCTAGAATGAGGAACTAGAAATTGTCTCTTGGGCCGGGTTATGGCCAGATCAGCAACCGATTATAAATATAAAAAAAAACTTCACGGAAAAAGTTGAGTTGAGTTGAGTTGAGTTGAGTTGAGTTGAGTTGAGTTGAGTTGAGTTGAGTTGAGTTGAGTTGAGTTGAGTTGAGTTGAGTTGAGTTGAGTTGAGTTGAGTTGAGTTGAGTTGAGTTGAGTTGAGTTGAGTTGAGTTGAGTTGAGTTGAGTTGAGTTGAGTTGAGTTGAGTTGAGTTGAGTTGAGTTGAGTTGAGTTGAGTTGAGTTGAGTTGAGTTGAGTTGAGTTGAGTTGAGTTGAGTTGAGTTGAGTTGAGTTGAGTTGAGTTGAGTTGAGTTGAGTTGAGTTAAGTTGAGTTGAGTTGAGTTGAGTTGAGTTGAGTTGAGTTGAGTTGAGTTGAGTTGAGTTGAGTTGAGTTGAGTTGAGTTGAGTTGAGTTGAGTTGAGTTGAGTTGAGTTGAGTTGAGTTGAGTTGAGTTGAGTTTCCGGGCTTCTTTCATTTATAGTTGGTCCGATCGTCCATGCAGATGCGTTTTAAAGATCTTATCTCTTAATCTCTCTCTTCTTAAGATTTGATCCTGCAAACTCGAAACGAAAATCCCGGTCCATCCGCTCCTGGCAGTTTTCGATCAAATTCCTGGGCAGGAATTTTATACCTTGGTTGACCGGAAGAGTGCCTCAGAAGAATGTAAATTCAAAAAGAAGTCAAAATCCCCCAAAAAGTCCTTGTCTGGCAGTTCAGAAAATTTACCATGAGGTGTGCCTACGGAAGAGACTACTGCCTTTTCTGGAGCAGCATGAGGTGGATTTCTTATTCTGGCTGGATTTGGCAAGCTGCCAGTACTCAAATTCCACCAAACAGTGGTCAGCGAAAATGGCGTCACAGTGATAAATCCGGCTAATACTCTGGAACTAATGCCAACTGTGAAATACTGGTCAATTGTGAAGCACATACAGAAGAAAAAGGGTGGAACTGCAATTGACCTGAAGGATTTCAAGCGGAAATGGAATTTGACAGCCTAACTAGTGGGAACAGGGCTCCTGCAAGAGATGATTGGCCGTATACGAAGAAAAGTTTGAGCAATGGCCTATAGTATGAAGGAGGTCTTACAATAAGCATAATACCTACTAATATCTATTCATACGTCAAATTCCATTCGAATCCGATCGAGGATAAAGCTTTCGTCTGTTTGTCTGTGGTATCACAAATTAATGTTCAAGATCTTACAATTGATGCTGATTCAAAAGTTATCAACTGTAGAATTTTCAATTCGTAGAATATGCCATAGAGCTTCAACACCCCACATCCATTAACCCAGTCCCGCAAGGGAATTCGCACCAGTTGCATTGCAGTTCTGCACGACGGCAGTGGAAAATAGTGCGACGTGAATAATACTCTTAATTAAACTGCTCGGTAATTAAAAAATGCTTTCCAATGAAGTAGTTGCATTTGCCTGGCACGGTGTAGACTGCAGTTACCTTCACTATTCTGCCCCATTACACGAATAGTTGGCTTATATTCCGTGGGATTTTTCAATTACATTCGACAATCGTGCGAA